ACCAGCCAGGACCTGTGTACATAGCCCTGACCCTAGGCTGCCCCATGCCCATTCCAGACCTGCCTGCACAGAGGACAGGACAAGAGCAGATTGCTTAGAGAGGCTGGGGAGTCTCCATCACTGGAAGCTCTTGAGAGCAAGTTGGACAAATGTGATCCTTGTTTGAACAGGGGCCTGATATGGCTCCTGCCAGCTCCGGTATTCTGTGCTTCTCTGGTTAATTGAGAAGCTCTTGACTTCCCAAGCCCAATCACCTTTGAGCCAGTGTCACTGAAGCCCAACCAGCACTCGCACTGCACTGAGGGGTCAAGAGGTTTGCTCCACCAAGTGAGTGCAGTGGATTATGACGTGTGTCACTGCAGGCCGGGTGAGCTGATTGCACCCAAGACCAGGTGTGGGTGTACAAGTGTGAACAACACTATATGTGCATCTGCGGGAATCTATTCCCGTGCATCATGGGGGCTGTGTGCATGGGTCCTGGCTGGTCTGCTCCAGTTGAGGCGAGTCCAGAGCAGGTGTGGGGCTGTGCAACTAGGTGCTCCTGGGCACTGGTGGTGGGAAGGAGCAGCTCTTGGCTTTTGCCAGGGGCAAGGGGTGTTGACCAGCTTACAACAACTCCTTAAAAACTGCCTATGTGGCCCATGGGCCCAAATAATTGACTACCCCTGGCTTACAGTATCTGTGCTAACCCATTAGTTAATGATCCTACTTCTAAGTTACCATAATATTATAGGAGTGTTGTCTGTTGTACCAGCCTTACAGCTCCCTGCATAGCTGGAGCAATAATACCCATGTCTGGCTAAGATGTTTGGATGGAAGAGATTCTGATGCCAGTTGCACCACCCTACATTTGTGGAGAATGACTCCAAATCACAGAAAACCTTAAGGAACCAGATATAGCCTGACCCACTATGATGGCAGGCAGATTCAGCTCCATCCCTTGGGCAATCTGTATGCCATCGCTGGGCCTTCAACAGTGGATCCACCTGTGTGAAATTCCCTCTCAGTCTAATATTAGGCCTTGGAGCAGCTTTCTTCTAGGTGACGCTGGCCAAGGTGGGTTTGCCATTTGCACTTCAAGGCTAGTCCCAGTAGTCCATTAAGCAGCACTACTTTTCTAGGGGTGGAGAGAGCCATAGGAACTTCATTCTCACTAGAAGGGATCTAGCAGGAGCTGGTAGAACAAATGACATTTGAGTCTCCAAGAGTAGCACTATAGCTATGACCTGCTAACAACCATCCATCACTGTATCCATGTATCAGCTCATTCTCTCCAACAAGCTTTACTCACCCTCCATCAGCCTCAGCTCAGGGATAGAGCTTCAGGATAGTAGAGCTTGTCCTGCAGGAGAGGGAAGGGTAACACTATACCTAGCACCTCTCTCAGGACATGAAAGTACACTGTTCAGAGGTTAAGCCTGCAAATATCTGGAACTTCCCAGACCCAGGGTCACGTTGTTCATATACTACCACCAGCATCCCAATTGAGGTGGTAGAGGGATTCTCTCAAGTTGTAGCAGTCTTCTATCTACGCATGCACATAAATGCAAACTTCCTAACAGAAATGACTAAACTACAATATATATTCAATTAAGTTTACTATTACCCCCCAAACTTGTTCATGTACTAGGATTTGACTAGAGACCTAGTTGAATTCTACGGAACAGCACTTGCCAGCCATGGGTACCAAGGAAAATTTGTTGAGTTCCAGTTTTGCTGCTTCTTCCTTTTCTGGCTTCACATTACTTTTCCTTCCTATATGGGATTGTGCTGTGCTTTCCACTGCATTTCCAATTCTTCTTCCCCGACTCCTTCCACATATTTCATTTAGAGTCCTTTCTACTTCACCCCTCCTCATGGCCAAGTTTTTGTAACCTGTGTACCACACAGATTCTCTCATATGAAACTTGCTTAAGCCACAGGCCATATTAGCCACATGCTAAAGACAAGCAAACTCTCCTTTCCTCAGCTGCTGAATTCCTACCAGACTGTGTGTGGGGACTAATCTATCAGCCTCCAGCTAGTATTTTCTAGCCCTTTCAACAGCAGATCTCTAGTACCAGGCTCTCCATGCAAGGCCAGCTTTGGAGTCCTCCATTCTGAACTCCACCCGCTTTTAAGCCTTTTGCTCAGCTTTCTAGCAACCAACCTATTCTTTGTATTAGCTGCTACCCATGAGTGTAACCACAGCAGTGAAAACTGGGAAGTCTGGAATGTTCACAGCCTGCAGCAGCTCACTGAAGATGCAGGACCTTGGTTTGTTTGGGGAGTTCTCTACACCCATATGGACCATTTTAAAAAAAAAAAAAAGGAAGGAAGGAAGTTTCAGTTCCACAGAAGCCAAGTTAACTTTTCTAGGAAGATGCTTACTCAGCCCATGGCAAGTGCTTTTTAAGCTCCAAGGGGTGGGAATGAGGTGGCAGCATATCCAGTGTCCTTGAAACCACAACTTGAGGGAGGAGGGGAAGTAGACGCACATTAAAACCTACCCCATCTGAAACTACCATCTGCTGCAGTTCAGGACTACCATCTTCTCTAGCTACCTGCTATGTTAACTTTGAACTTCCCAATTTAAGCCAAATGATGGACAATAAAACCAAGTTATGTTGCTCTAGTTAATCTTCCCACACACTTGCACTGATTTTCCCAGCACTCTTCTGGCCTATATCAGAGCACTACTCTGTACAATCCCAAGGGGAGTGGAGGTCGCATGCAACCCTGCTCCCCACCAAGCTTGGAGGGGGTCAGACACCCAGCCTGTTTAGTATTAATGGCCCACATGCCATTCATGTGAAATACAAGCTTCTGTTTAGAGTGGGTACCTGGCAGGACCTGCCAAGCAATTTTAGCATAATCAATTAACATAGTGTCACCTTCCAAGTTGAGACAGACCAGCATGGGCTGTTTCACCATTAAAAAAAAAAAAAAAAATTCACTTGGCTTTTGTTTTCTTACTTACGCTCTATTATCACAAACATTCACTGCTTGAATGATTGGCATCCTTTTGTCTGCCGGAGACAGTGGATACTGCAGCCTATGGTATACTTCAGGGATTTGTTATTGCCCCAGAATTCAGTCCACAACATCAGATTTCCTGCCATAGTGCACAAACTGGTCCCCCCTCACCCCATCATGAGCACTGCTGTTAGAAGCTGCACAGCCAAGGCTTCTCACAGCTGCACAAAAACTATGTTCTATCCTTGACCATCTCACAGGCCTTCCTCCCTCTCTTTCTCCCCCCAACCCCACCAGTAGTTTCCCCTGAGGACAGAATTGAAAAAGGTCTGGCCATTCCAGGTTTATACCATGGGCCACAGTCAAGTAGAGTTTTACCCTCTCCATAACAAGTGAAAAGACCCAACATGTGGATGTCAAGGTTTTCCTCCCCCCGCTTTTGTTACCACAACAGTGAACAGCTGAAGAAACTAAAGGTTCTGGAACAGAACTCCACTTCTGAGGAGATCTGTTCCCCCAACCTATGGCACACACTGGTTGAAATGCATCAAAAAGTGGCGATACTGAGATAAGCAAGAAAAGGAGTCAAGATACATGATCCTCCATGGTTGCCATGAAGCTGCATGCAAAATTCTCACTTTTCTGGCTACACATTAGAGCCAATTGTTTCTTTCAGAGGGAGACTTGAAACACCATAATGCTCTCTTAGCTATCGATCTGGTTTAAGGGCAAAACAGATACCCTATCCAGGGTACAAGCCACAATAAGCAGGGGAATTCACTATCACCAAAGAGACTATTCAAAAGCCAAGAAGTTCACAATCAGTCTAGTAAGCTGGAGATCTTGCCAACACTAATTATCACTAGCTACAGAAAAATGCAAGCTACCTATAGCCATCATTTTGTGTTGTCAGTTATTTTCCATTCAAAGTTCCCTTTTTAATGATTTGCATATAGCTCTACGGTAGAGTTAAATAAGTGTCCCAGCAAATATCATGCTAGGACAGTGTCAGTCATTTCCTAGAATGAAGCAGTGACGGGGAACTGCCTGTCTTCTCAACAGATACCAACATGCCTAATAAAGTTGTCAAGTAAGGGTACTCAACAGCCAGCCTGCCAGCCAAATCCAGCCCACAGAGCCATGGCTTGCAGCCCACAGGGATCACCATGAGTTGGAAAATTTGGCAGTGGGGGGTGACAGAAGCTCTAGGTGGCTGGATCCAGCTCCACCCAAGCCACTGCTACACAGCATGATTAGAGCCACCCCACACATCCAGACCAGATCAGACTGGGCTGTTCCCTATCCCATCCCTCCCTACACCTGGATCAGGCACCCTCCCCCAACCAATGCATCCCAGTCAAGGCTACTCTACCCACAAGGCATTCATATTGGCGCTGTACTGCTCCCCACTCCCATGCATCTGGATTGCGGCTGCTCCACTGTGGAGCACTGAACTTCCCGAATCCCAAACCCACAGATTTATCATCATAAAAGTAATCATAATACCCTCTCCTGGAACTTCCACCCTTCCCCTTGGGCAGACAGTGCATCCTAACACAGCCAGATCAGCTGCCTGCAACAGCAGATCCAGCCCACAGGCAAACCTGGCACCCAGGGGGCAAATTACAGAGGAGCCCCTCCCCCCCATAAGAGAGAAGATCTAAAAATTGTAATCTGGGCAGTCTTTAATCCGATTGCTCCTTCCAATGAACCAGTTTAATTCTTTTGGCAGACCTCTCCCCCGCAGAGTCGAAGTGCAATTTGAACCCTGCTGGCATCACCCATTCAGCCCATTGTGTGAAGAGACCGGGCACCACCACCCTGCAGTGCAACCGCTGTGCAACCTGACAGCACAGGCCAGCCCGAGCACCAAGCTACGGGCTTCACAGCGCTCACAGGTAAATGCGACCCAGGCACTGAACAAGGCGGCCTAGAGGCAGCCCAGCGCCGGGTGAGGCTTCCGAGCCCCACGTCTCCACCGAGCCACCTCCAGCCCGAGTCCCACCGAGGGCCCGCGGCTAAACCCGCCCCCGGCCGCCCCGCACCTTGCTCTGTGCCTGCTCGGGACCCAGCGCCATAGTAGTACTCATGATGAAAAACCACCACACCCCGCCGCGCTCTGCCGGCCACCCCCCCCCCCCCCCCCCCCCCAACGCCCCCGAGCGCGAGCCCCGCCCCGCCTCCCGGCAGCCCCCGCGCTGGGCGCCATTTTGGCCCGCAGGCACCCCCGCGCCAAGGGAAAGGCTTCGGGAAGCCATCTTAGAGCCGGGCGGGAGGATTACGCGAAGGCACGAAGGCGAGGCGCCATGAAAAGCCTCACTTAAGATGGCGGGGGTATTAAAAAAGAACCCGTTCCCTCGCACGCTGCTTTCCCTATGACGTCATCCCCGCCGCCACCAATTCCTGTTCTGCGCGGCGCCCCAAGGGCATGGCGGGGGTGAGGGCCCAGCGGGAGGGGCCCCGTAAACGGGCAGCAGGCTGCGGACTACAAGTCCCGGCAGGCCATGGCTGTGGCCGGCACTGGCGGGAGAAGGGTTGCATGTGGCGGTGCGGAGCCGGGCACAGGTAAGGTGGCAGTGTCCCCTGGGGACCCCGGACCCCCAGCGCGGGGCGCGAGATCCCGGAAGCGCGGTGTTTGCCGCCGCCCCCGCGTTCCCCGCCCGGACCTTGCTCGGCTTTCCGCTCCCTGCCCCGCTGCCATGTGCCCGCGCACTCGGGGCGCACCGGTGTTGCCGGCTGTACAAACAGGTCATGATCCTGTTTGTACGGTCATGTCAGCCATTGTACGATTAAAGCGTTCAAAATGCACAAGGGGTGTAGACTGCAGCCGTGTTGGTCTAAGGTTCTTTGGGTGAATCCGATCTCTTCTATGAGACCAACTCAGATAGTTGGGGAAATTCTCCTTGGCAAGCTTTCGAGTGCAAACATCTGTGGTCAGGCTGAGGAAGCATCTGCAGTTGGTGTGAGCTCTTCCTGGAAGGGTCCCACAGTTTGCACAATGCCTTGGTCCTGGAAGAGCACAGACCATCTGTAGACAGCTCACTGATGTAACACGTGCCACACCCAAGTCACTCTCAAGGATTCTTAACTGGCTTTTGTGTTTGCTGTCTTTTGTTTAATGTTTTGGAAAGTATTTCATGTTCCAGGTCAAATTAGCCCAACTCCTTTTGATTAAGCAAGGCTCAATCGTTCAAACACCATATGTGGTACTGCAACCAGCAAATATCCTCCACCCCAGACTTTTTAGCCCAGAGCTTCAGATACTTCCAAACCCATCAGCGGGCATCCTATGTGCAGGCCCAAACCCGGGGGCTTGGGGTTCGGATGCCCCTCCCAAGTTTCACTTACCCTCAGCCAAAGGCTGCAGGAGTGAACTAGTCCCCCAATGCCATAAAAGAGACATATTACTCAGATCCTCCTAGAAACTGGCCAGTGGGATGCTAACAATAAAACTCCTAGAGGAGTCCTGTCAGCATTCAGACTGGGGTGCATGCTCTGCTACACACTGCAAGTTAAATCCATTTGTGCTGGGGTATTAGACCAGTACAGCAACTATGTTTGATCTTAGGTTTGCTGTGAGCACTTTCTTATGACTGCCTGCCTGGAAGTACAGAAATGCTTCCACTTTGATGACCCAGGTCTCACTCACTAACTGGCGACTTACAGTGAGCAATATAAAGTAAATAAGAAGACTTATTTGTACTTTTTGTCAGTGTACAATAGATTTTCAGCAAATAAAATAATTTTGAGCTTCCAGTGCAATAATTTCATATTTATAAGGATACATTTGTCCATATTGTATTGGCACCAATAAAAAGAAAATTGATGTTTTCGGCAATTCGCTTTTTTTGGCTGATGTGGCTGATAATATTGCCGATAAATGCTGTGTGCATGTGCGCAGCCAGGAATGCAGCCCAGCAGCTTAGAGAGGAGCATCTGGCTGGTAAGTCTATGGGGGGGAAGGAATATAGGGGTGCAGATTGAGGCCCCCATGGTGTGGGGGAGAGGGGCTGGGGCTTCATGGGCAAAACAAGGCATGGGATGGTGTTGCAGGTGGGGAGGGGGGATGTTCCCACTGCTGCATGCACCCCGAGGGAGGCATGGGGAGCACATGCCCCCCAGATCTGTGCGTGGGGCGAAGGTGGGCTGCCCATTCAATGCCAGGGGCAGCACCGGGCTCTTCCAAGTGCGGGGGGAGGCAAGATCAGGGATGCAGGCAGCAGTGGCACTGGGAGGGGAGGCTACAGCCATCCCAAAATTCACTGTAGCCCCCCTCCCAGCGCAACCACTGCCTGCCCCGAGCACAACCCTGACTCAGCCCCCCACTCACTCCCCACCACCGGGAAGAGGCTGGCACCAGTCCCAAGCAGGCAGCCCACCCTCACCCCACAGACACACCCAGGGGGCACATGCCCCCTATGCCTCCCCTGGGATGTGCACAGTGGCAGGAGTTGGCTGCCTCATCCCTGCGGCCTCCTGAACAAGATACAGCTCCATCCTGTGCTCCACCTGAGTTGTGCAGTGCTTGTCCCTGCCCCTGCCCCACTGCGTCCCCACTGCTTGTCCCCTTGCTCCCTGCAGACTTACCAGCCGGACACTGCTCCAAGCTGTGGGGCTGCATATCAGCAATCAGATTGGCATTGGTTGATATGGCTCGTTAATAATCAGCCATCAGTATTGGCCCAAAACATCTTTGTCGGTACACCCCTACATATTTAAAACTTGGCAACACTGGGGTGTGCATGCCACGTGTTGGTCACCACTGAACTGTCCTGCTGCCAGCTGTGCTAGGAGAGCAAGCCCAAGCAGTTGCGGTTGATCCAAGGTGTTTGACCCCCGGGCA